CGTTTCTCTTTCTCATTGTATCATAAAGACCGCGCAGAAAACTTCATCTGTTATCTTACACTAGTTATTCTTCAGTGTATTTTAATTCGATCACTATATTTGATTGGATCTTACTTGATAAACTTACAGATCAGGTAGTTTCTGTCTTATATACTAGACATCACCTGTCAACGACGACACTCTTTAACAGACGTGCATGAGTGCTCTCATCCAGAGCACTGATAATCTTATAAAATCATTTTATGAGCTTTATCTGACTCTTAATTTACAATATAAGTGAAAATCCGAACTACGGCTAAGCTCGTTAGCTTCTTCCTCCTCATTCTCGTCACATTTCACACCAGAGTGCTCTAAAGTTTCAGCTTTCCGACCAACAGTGATTCAAGTCCACAATACTCCTATTTACAGAGGTAAATCGAGTAAAATCTGTGTTTAGCATGCATAAAAGAAGATTTTCCGGAATATTTACCTTATGCAGTCGCCTACTCGCCGCCATCTTGGATTTGCTTTCGCCCACAATGCAAAGCGCGTTGAATTCACTTCAGCCAGTTCAAATAAATGAATCAAATTAATAAAAGATCATTTGTGCATCAGGTGTGACAAATGCTGTGCATAATTTGAAATGCTATAATAGTTTTTAATCCATATGTTGAATTCGTTTTTATTTTTATATTTTCACGTTAATTTTAGTTAAAGGTTTTAGTCATTTTGTTGTGTTTTGTGTTTATATTATTATTTTTTTTTTTTTGTCTATATAGTTTTTATTCATTTTAATCTCAGTTTTAGTTATTTTGCTACAAGTTAATCTGAATGAAATGTTGCCTTGGCAACTAGCTGAAATAAAAAAAAGTTTTAATTCAATTTAATTTAATTTAACGTTTATATTATTTCAGATAACGAAAATGTTTATGGTTTTAGTTTAAGTTAACTATAATAACCATGTACAAATGTATTGTTGTTGTTTTTTGCAATAAATAAGTAAATAAATATATTATTAAATATTTATAGAAATATTTATTTAGTCATGAGCAATATCTGCTGCTACTTCCTCAAATGTGGTTGCAATGTAATTCATTTTATAAGCATGTTAATGTTGTCTTATCTGACATACACTACGAATAGTGTATGTACAATAATGTACTAAGTACAATATGAATAATATACACAATTAAAATAAAACTATGTTAACCGAAAGGAGAACTGAAAAAAATACACTTTTTAAGATGACAACAATTCTAAATTTTATAAAGTAAGTATTACATCTATATATATATATATATGTTATATATATGGAGATAAATATTCTTTACTAAAAAAAAAAGTACTAAAATCTGCTTCAATATAAGAAAGTAAAACAAAAGGAGTCCACTAGGGTGTGTAAGAGCACTTGAATAGTGCTGCACATTCTGACCCAAACACACTCTACATGTGACAGAGCAATAATCACTAGGCCACACATGTCTGCTTATTGTAGTAGCCTATATGTAGTGAAAAAAATAAATGTCCAAAACTGAAAGTAAAGGGAATTTTTGTCTTGCCACTAAAAAAATACATCTTACATATTTCCTTTTCTATACATCTATACTTCCCTTTTCTATACTTTCTATTGTTCATAATGTTTAACATATTTTCACTTCTACACCAGAGAACATGTTAACGAGTGTCAACAGAAACTTCTTTACAAACCTGCTGTTCTAGTTGGTCTCTCGCAACACCAGGGGTTTGAAACCCAGAAGTATTCCGCATACAAAACAGCAAAACAGTCTGGCCTAAAGTTATAATATTAAGATAAAGTTTGACTTAGACATTAAAAAACTAACATTGAAGCAAAATCAAATGCTTGTGAACATGGACAATTGTTTGTACAAGTATCATTTGTATTAAATACGTGTTCTTATCATTTAATTTCTAAACAAATTTATTGTACACTCTAAAAAATGCTGGGTTGTTTCAACCCAACTTTGGGTCAAATATGGACTAACCCAACTGTTGGGTTTAATTTTTACATTTAAATTTTAACCCAAAAGTTGGGTTAGTCCATATTTGACCCAAAGTTGGGTTGAAACAACCCAGCATTTTTTAGAGTGTAGCTAAGATCCACCTAATAAATCACAATATAATATATCAAGATGCACACATAGCCTCACAATGAAGTAATGTGCACAACTGAATATAGCTCTTTAATTTAGAAATGTATGTGAAAATAGACAATTATCTAAAAAACTTTAGATTGAACTTATTTCTGTACACTCTAAATATAACCCAGCTCTGGGTTAAAAAGGGACAAACCCAGCTATTGGGTTGTTTTGACCCAGCGGTTAGGTTCAAAACATCCCAACCGCTGGGTCAAAACAACCTAACCGCTGGGTCAAAACAACCCAACCGCTGGGTCAAAACAACCCAACCGCTGGGTCAAAACAACCCAACCGCTGGGTCAAAACAACCCAACCGCTGGGTCAAAACAACCCAACCGCTGGGTCAAAACAACCCAACCGCTGGGTCAAAACAACCCAACCGCTGGGTCAAAACAACCCAACCGCTGGGTCAAAACAACCCAACCGCTGGGTCAAAACAACCCAACCGCTGGGTCAAAACAACCCAACCGCTGGGTCAAAACAACCCAACCGCTGGGTCAAAACAACCCAACCGCTGGGTCAAAACAACCCAACCGCTGGGTCAAAACAACCCAACCGCTGGGTCAAAACAACCCAACCGCTGGGTCAAAACAACCCAACCGCTGGGTCAAAACATCCCAACCGCTGGGTCAAAACAACCCAACCGCTGGGTCAAAACAACCCAACCGCTGGGTCAAAACAACCCAACCGCTGGGTCAAAACAACCTAACCGCTGGGTCAAAACAACCTAACCGCTGGGTCAAAACAACCTAACTGCTGGGTTTGTCCCTTTTCAACCCAGCGCTGGGTTATATTTAACCCAGCATTTTTTAGAGTGTAGGTTTGAAATCAGTCTTCAATTTATCTTCAATTTTATTTGAAATCAGGCTTCAATTTATAGACTATAAATGTATATGGCTTAATAAGTGCTTAAAAAGACAATTCATATTCATAAAATGTTATTGATCTAACTGCACTGACACTATCAGATGAGAACGCAAACACTTGAACTTATTTGAGCTGTTTAATGACACTATTGTCTTCTACACAGCTGTAATTGATTAATTTGCATCATTAACAGTTATTTCCTGTTTATTACTGTTTTTTATTTTTTTATTTTTTTATTAATGCCAAGGTACCAAATATAAAAATACAGAGAATATCAACATTACATACAAAGAGGTGACATTACATGCAAAGCACCATTTATAGACGTATGTAACAATAAATAAATCATACAAAATGAGTGATACTTGATGAGTGAATTTACTGCGGGGAATATGACATTTTGCAAGAAGTAATAATAGGTGAATAATAAAATATTCATTAATTTGATCTTTTTGTATATTAAAGAAGCCAAACGGTACATCCTTAAAAAGCAGAGCGAAACCCTGGAGTACACTGCGATTGATAACATTAGAAAATGCAATCCAAAATAGCTGTGTGTGCATGAGGACAATCCCAAAAGATATGCATATCAGTTTCATTAGGGTCACCACAAAAAGAACAGCTTGTATCTATGTCCGATTTAAACCTTTTGAAAAACACTTTAGCTGGTCCTGTTTATTACCGTGAAGCTGCTTTGAAAGCATATAGGCTATTGTATAAAGCACTAGCCTATATATATATAAATGTGACTTGACTAAATGCACTGTAAAAAATGTTTGTAAATTGTTGTAAATACACATTTAATTAGAGTATGTTTTAAAATAAAACAAATTACGTTTTCCTACTCCTAAATTCAATGTGTTACTTGTTTTTTGTCATTGTTTGTGAAATGTAGCCTACTACCCTGATAGCACATGTAGGCCTACAGCACGGAGACGTCTATTTGACATCTGTATTATTGTTTAGAGAGTTTGCTCATCTGCAATACATCTAGAGGACGTTTCCTATCCGACGTCTTTAAGATGTCTTTAAGATGTTTATGATTTAGAATGCATGTACAACTGACATCTTAAAGACGTCTATCAGATGTTTGTACACAGCAGATGAAGCGATCATTAACAGACATCTTGCAGACTTTTAAGTGTACTATCTGGGTAGCAATTTCTGAGTGAAAATTGTTTCTACACCAATTTATATTTCAGTGAATGTATTTTACGCTGTAAGGGGTTTTAACCACCTTTTTACCTCAAAATTAAAAGTGCACTCATAAAAGTACAAATATTCCTTATATAGTTTAATATAAAAGCATGCATAGTTACTATACTAGAATTAGAAATGATAGCAACCCCTTCACAAGCTGAAGATGCACAGAGGCACAGTCACACACACACACACACACAGGTTTACATTTGTGAAAAGTGGGGACTCTCCATAGGCGTAATGGTTTTTATACTGTACAGACCATATATTCTATCGCCCTACACCAACCCTACCCCTAAACCTACCCCTCACAGGAGACTTTGTGCTATTTCAGATTTTCAATACACTCCATTCTGTGTGATTTATAAGCGTTTTGAAAAGTGGGGACATGGGGTAATGTCCTGAAAAGTCACCTTCTCCTTGTAATACCTGTCATACCTTTGTCATTATACAAATGTATGTCCTCATTTGTCACAAAAACGCGCACACGTCTGATCAGCTATCCTTGTGGGGACTCTCCATAGGCGTAATGGTTTTTATACTGTACAGACCATATATTCTATCGCCCTACACCAACCCTACCCCTAAACCTACCCCTCACAGGAGACTTTCTGCATTTTTAGATTTTCAAAAAACTTCATTCTGTATGATTTATAAGCTTTTGTACCCGTGAGGACCACAATTTAGGTCCCCATCGTGACACGAGTCCCCATGAGTCTGTGTGTAGTCAGGTTTAAGTCCCCACCAGGATATATAAACCTGTACACACACACACACAGCAACATTTGGATTGCAAATGTGGCAGCAGCAGTGGCAGGTCATGGCACGTTACACCTTCTCAGCAGCAGCAGCCCTGGGCTGTTTAGGCAAATGAGAGTGTGTGGCTGGCAGAGGCAGGGCATTTACCCTCTCTCCCCCTCTCTTTACTGCCTCTTATTCAGATTTGGGTCAGGGGTGAGGATTTCTCACGTCACACAGTCTTGCAGGCAAGATGGCGCTCGGAAAGCTGTGAGATGTGAAAACAGAAGGACTGTTTGAAGAGCTCCTTTCGATGCATTAAGGTACAGATACTTTATTTTTACACACGCGTTTGGGGTTTTATTGTGAGGGAAACGCACGTGCGATTTAACGGGGGTTTGTGAGGGGTTTCTTCTCTTGTTTTTTGTTTTTTTTAAAGAAACTGATTCCTCCAACAGACTGCTCCTATCGCGTGCCCACTGGGCTTTTAATGCACGTACAGCGCGAGCGCAGCCTGGCAGGGACAGATATGTGTGTTTTATCAAAAGCATTGTATTTGTTTCAGCGTGGCTTATGCATTAATCAGATGCAGTGTTTAAGACACGAAAGACCTATATACTGCATCTTTATATTTTAGTAAAAATGATTAGTCGCCACCTTGATGGCAAAACCCGATCAGTGGCCCTTTATGTGGCCAGCATTCCTGTCTCACCCCTCCCTCGGTGTGTTTTACCTTTTAACACGTATAATGCTCATATTGAATATTTGTGCATGGTTTTGCATCGTTAATGCATACATTAAAAGATCGCGTTTAGCATTTATAATGCTCGAATATAATATGCATGCATTGTTTTGCGCTGTTAATCAATGCATTAAGATGTCACAATGAAGACTTCAGGTCATCCGTGTTTGTTCCATTAAATACACAAAAGCAAGCCGCAATTTATGAGTGAAAAGCTGATTTATCTGTCGAGTCTTGCTTGCTGTGTTTGGGTGCGTACTACACTCGGATCAGCATGACTAGGTTGTGTTATGAAGCAACGCTGAGTTTGTTTCTTTTGCAGCATATGAGCCATACAAACATAAAGATGAATAACTTTTTCCCAAGCTACCTTTTAAATGGGACAGTATATTTTGGGTGTTGTGACAGCTCACCTTTGCCTCTGCCACTGTAGTTTGGGATGCAGTTAAGATATTGCAATGAAGACTTTAGATTGTTATTGTTTGTTTCTCATAATGCATGTACATAGATCCCTCTTTATGAGGAAAAGGTGCTTTGTTGATGCATTATGAAGTGCATGTGAGGTTCTAAAGTGCTTTTGTGGATGTAGTCATCGATCTTATTGATAGCCTATTTAATGTTATATTCAATTCTTTTACTTCTATATCTTGAGGAGATCTTGAAGGACCCTTTTAATCTCATCCATTTTAATGGACTGGGGGAGGGGGCTTGTTTTACAGTGGTTGGTGGGTTTAGATCAGTCAGTGCCACACTAAAGTAACTCCCTTTCTGGGTGACAGTTTGCTTGAATGAGACAATCGAAGAACTTTTAACCAAAGATATGGCCATTTTGTATAAAGAGAGCCTGTTATGAGTCTTGTGCATGCTGTCGTGATGAACATTTTGAAGGTAAGCAAACCTGCAGATGCATGCTTTGCTTTCCTTTGCCGCTGATGTTTAGGTCCATGCATGGTCCAGTGAGGCTTATCTTCGAACTGTGGAGTTTGCTTCCAAATGCTTCTCGACGAGCTTGGGCTGGCCTTGTCATAATTGTTTTGTTGTCCTCTTCAAAGGTCAGAGAAAATGAGAATAAAATATGTGTTTAACAGATGTAGTGGCGTTCATGTTAAGATCTAATCAATACTCTTATGAAAGGCAGCTCTGGGTTTCTGCTTTGAATAATGCAGATGATCAGATCTCTTGAATGGATGGGGCGGGAACGGGGCTTGAAGACAGTTTATTTAGTGCCATTATCATTGAGAAGATCGTTATGAATTGTGTTGTGGGTTTGTGTTTTGATTGAAATCTTATTTCACACCCAGCAGCGGAGTAGTGTTTCGCTTTCAGAGGAGCACAATCTTTTCCTCCTATTCTTCGTGAAATTTACGATGTTTTTGACAGCTTTATCTGTTCATCTAGTCATGGCACCTCTGTACTAGTCTAGTCTGGTTGGGTAATAATGATGGTTTGACTTGTTATTTTTCAAATTCCCCTCATGTTTTTTTAACAGGAAAATGGCTATAAACCTTGTTTGAAATGATTTAACTTGGGTCTATTTCTGTTCTTCACCAGAATATAGGTTAACCTGTATTTATTTGTTTAGTTGAACCCTTTTAGGCCAGTTTAGATGTAGGCGACATGCATGCATTGTGTGGCTGTTGCTTTAAGGCATCACCCCATGTCTGAAATCTTGTCTAACATGCTTGGCATGTTTATTGACCAGATCCTTTTAACCTGGAACCTTTTAACCACTTCTTGGGCAAAACAGACATTACAGGATTGTGTAGGGATACTGACGAATACGATGTGATTTATCTGTTGAGGGTTATTCCAGGGTTGCCCAATCTGGTTGAGTGGCTGTTTTTGCACCAGATTCCTTATTTCTTGATTTCCAGCAGACACATTTTTAAATTTTAAGCATTTTGTGTGATCATCTTTGGTTTCAGTGATTTAGTTTTTAAGTACAAGTGTGACATACATAAAAGTGCATTTGAAACAGGTGTGGTTGTTTGATGTCTTCGGACAATTTTAGGTGGTAGTGAGTCTAGTTTCTCAGGTATTTTGCAACATCTAGCCCAGCTCACATATGACATGCGCATGAACCCAGATGCATTTTCGGTTTATTCGCAAAATACTGCAACGCGTGCCTGGACAAATGCAAGAAATGTCCTGCTGGTGTCAAACAGTGTGACTTCATTTGAAATTATCAGTAGTGTAATCAGACCTATAGTGCATGTTGACTTTTTGTCAGAATTGATTTAATGCATGATTCTGGTCTTATTGTGCATGATTCATTGCTTCGTGTTATTCCAAATAAAAATCACTTTTTTGTTGAACATTCATTTTCTGATGTGTCAGATTACAAACTTAATGGTTGAATACAGATAGAAGCTAGCCTGGTTTGTACAGTTGTTTTGTCATCATCGTAAAGAAGATTTTATGCCTGTTTTTGGCTGGAAATAAAATCCCATCCTTCTAGCACAAATAGAGCATAACATTGAATGAAAAGCACACGGGCAGTGGACAAAGGTCTTGAGTTCTTCAGATAAGTGATACTGTTATCTCTTAGTTGAGGTCGTTTGTCAGATTATTTAGATCAGGTTTGCTTGGCTTCCAGGTTGGCTCGGATCTCTTGAAGCTGGTGGTTACAGTAAGCACTTGGATCTGAATTTCTCTTGGCACAATCTATGGAAGTGTCTTTTATCAAGTTAACCAACGTGATGTTATTAAAACCCAACTTGCATCAGTGTTTTTGAAGATTTTAGTCACCTTGAATCTTCACTGAAACATTCAGGCACTTAAAAAATGTATAATGTTTATGGTTGTGTTTTTGTTCTTGATTTGCTGTAGGGTAGATATAATACGTTGATACATCTCATGAATAATGTTTTGTTTCACCAATGCCCTCTTTCATAAGAGCAAAAGTGCTCTCTGTGTTTTTATGGCATTAAGACAATAAAATCAGGGCCCTAGGGGTCCGTGCCACCGGATAAGCTTGTTTATGAGGTTAAGCGCAGTCGTTGCCAGACTTGTTTACCCGTGTTTTTACTGGCCGCTTTTGCACTTTGACTTTTTCTGACGACAATCTCTCTGATTAGAGATTCATCTCTGGGATGGGACTGATGGTTTTTGAGGAGAGGTCAGAATGTCCGCAAAGCAGTTGAAAGACCGGCAGCATCTTATCAAGTCTTGTGTGCAACTTCTAGATAAACGTGTTTCTCAAACGTCTTTTGTTGTTTTGCGCCGTGGGTTTTGGGTGCTATCAAAGTTTGCCCAAGCAGTTGTGCTTTATGGTTATCTATGCAGTTCTTTGACTACTCCTGTGCTTGAGGCCTATAAATACCCTGAGAGATGGTATCACGTGATAGGGTTTAGTTTTAGGGCTGGGCATACTGGTTTTTATGAGACAAGTAAACGGAGACTGTCATTTTGAAGATTTCAGGGTTCAGACTTGTACAGATTGTAAACATTAATGTTATTATCTCGGGCCTGTTCACACTGAACAGCTTTGCCTTAACATCTTACTCCCGACAGGAGCTTTTGGATATTGGTGTGCACTTTTCCAACAGTGTTATCACCAATCCTCGACTCATCCCTGAGATCTCCAGAACACCCGAGGCTACGCACTCTACCCGGCCGGGCGGAAGTGCTCGCAGGCGGTGTCGTGATCGTAAACAAAGGCGGGGTAAGCACGGAGGGCTAAGAACTAAGCTAAAGCTAACACCGCTCCGGCTCTCTTTACCCAGCATTTTCCTCGCTAATGTGCGGTCATTGGTGAACAAAATGGACGAGATACATTTACATTTACATTTAGTCATTTAGCAGACGCTTTTATCCAAAGCGACTTACAATTGGGGGATACATAAAGCGATTCTTCTTAAAGAGGCAAACAGACACAAGACGTGGTTGTAATACCAAGTTCTTAGACATTGTTCAAATAAGTACAAGCTAGAAAGAGAAGGAATAAATAAAGAGAGAGATACTTTATTTTTATTATTATTTTTTTTAATTATTATTATTTTTTTATATGCCACACCCAATATGCCACACCCAATTTTAAAAACAAAAACAGAATACTTGCAAAGTGTCAGTAAAAAAAAGGTCACTTGGTGTGAATTTTCTTGTGAGAGTTTGCTGTAGGACATAAAATTATATGGATTTTTTTTTATGACAATGACTAACAGAGTTTTTTCTCTTTTAGGTTTCATAGGTGAAGAAAAAGAAGTTGGAAATGGAATTGCCAAATCATGCCAAACAATTGCTGCTGCAGCTAAACCAACAAAGAGCCAAAGGTTATCTGTGTGATGTGATCATAGTAGTAGAGAATGCCCTTTTTCGGGCCCACAAGAACATCCTGGCAGCCAGCAGTATCTATTTCAAATCCCTTATCCTTCACGACAACTTGATTAACCTCGACACGGACATGGTCAACCCGTCGGTTTTCCGGCAGATTCTAGACTTCATTTACACCGGCAAGCTTTTGTCATCCGATCAGTTCAGTGACCACAATTTCAATGCCCTTCTAACGGCAGCAAGCTACCTCCAGCTTCACGACCTGGCTACTCTCTGCAGGAAGAAGCTAAAGCGTAACGGGAGATCCCTCCTTAATAAACCAACCACCCCTACCAATGGAAGAACATCTAGGAACCAAAGGCTGTCCTCTACATCTGTAACTCCAAACCAAATGTCAGGGTTAAAAGACAGTGAGAAGACAAAGAGGCACAAAGAGCTACTCAAAGATGACTTGTCTGAGGATGAGATGTTTGTGAGAAACGCCCACTGTGCAACCTCAGCGAATTCGCTCAGTCCCTCAACGAGTAAGAATGGAAGCAACGGCAGTTGTGGCATGCAGGAACTTGGCCTAGACCTTTCCAAGAAAAGCCCCTCAGGGAGCACAGCCACTGAAGAAGTAAGTCCCAGCAGCATCCCACAAGAATCACCTCAATCTGCCTCAGAATCCACAGCCAACAGTGCCTCATTTGATGAGAACACCAACACGCAGAACCTCACCCCTGGAGAGCCCATGGAGCTGGGTGGAGGAGAATGTGAAGAGAGCCAACTGCCTCCAGACATCGACCAGCATAAAAGTTCCCGGCAGGTTGCCCGGCAGAGGCGGCAACCCAAGAGCGAAGGCAACAAAGGTGAAGATGCAGAACGAGGAACTTTACCCAACGGAGTTGCGAAAAGATTGAATGTGGCTGGGGAGAGGCTCCCTGGTGGGGGAAATGGCAACTCTGAAGTATCCTTCCAGTGTAAAGATGATGAGGAAGGTTTAGAGAATGGACAGGAGCAAAGTGAAGAGAGTGGACAGAGCGAGAGTGAAGGTGGGCGGAATAGCGCCAATTACGTCTACCGTCAAGAAGGCTTTGAGCCTGCCCTCGGTGACAACCTTTATGTTTGCATCCCCTGTGGTAAAGGCTTCCCAAGCTCAGAGGAGCTGAATGCCCATGTGGAGACCCACACAGAGGAAGAGTTGTACATCAAAGAGGAGGATGATGATTCATATCCAAAGGAAGATGAAGTAGAAGCGGAAGACTTGTCTTCGCAAATAACCCATGTCCACAGCACTGAGTCGCGTCGCTTCAGCTGCTCGGTCTGCAACAAGAGCTACAAAGATCCGGCCACTCTTCGACAACACGAGAAGACCCACTGGCTCACCCGTCCCTTCCCCTGCAACATCTGCGGCAAGATGTTCACTCAACGCGGCACCATGACGCGCCACATGCGCAGCCACCTGGGGCTGAAGCCATTCGCCTGCGAGGAGTGCGGCATGCGCTTTACCCGCCAGTACCGGCTCACAGAGCACATGCGGGTTCACTCAGGTGAGAAGCCGTACGAATGTCAGCTATGTGGAGGCAAATTTACCCAGCAGCGTAACCTCATTAGCCACCTACGAATGCATACCTCCCCGTCATAAGCCAAAGACACATTGAACAGGAGACCCTCAGCAAAAAGAGTCAATGCACACTTCTTCCTTTTGAAGTAGACTGCAAGGAGCCAATAACCCAAAGCAGGATTTCTTCTGCTATAAATTACAGGAGGAGCCTTTCAAACAACGAGCCCCAACAATGGAAAGAATAAACCAGTCGGTATGAGTTTATGGGCTTATGATTTTTTTCCTTTTTGAATTTTGCTGTGAATGTAAAACTGGGGTACTAATGCTGTTGTATGATTCCCTGGGATATTTTGACCACTCTCAACCACTGCAATCCATGCATTGCTTTTACGATATGTCTTGAGTCCATGTGGTCTGTCTGGTTCGTTTTTTGGTATCCCAGAATTATTCCTTCTTTCCATTCTTGGTCCTTGATAAAGTACCACTCTTGAGAGTTCTGGTGGTATATTTTATGTAAAACTCTCAGCAAGGTTTGGGCTTGTACTTACCAAGTTATTCTATACACAAAGGTTCTAATTCTTTGAAGTGTCTCCTAAGATAGTGTTGTTAGACGTGCAAGATGGCTTGTCTGTCATCATTTAGGTCGTGTTTCATAAAAGCTTTGTGCATCCAACCAAACATTTCCCAGTATACCTACTCTGCACATCACATCCATTGGCTTTATTCTAGGTGTAGCTGGAAAACAGGGTCTTTGATAAGTTTTGTACTGTGGTTGATAAATCGGTTATCAGATTTTGCATGGATATAACCTAATGTGCCCTGCTTCAACATCTGGATGCAAGCCAATGGCAAAGTGGTGACGAGAGGCCATGGGTGTTTACTCACATAGTATATAGGGGTTTACTCTCAAAGAAAAGCCAAACTTAAAGGTACTTTTTAGATATCTTTAGATAACTTATTGATATGCTTCTGTGAATGTTTTAACTGGAAGTTCTTTCCTTTATTTCTTTTGGGATAAGCGAGGTTTGGGTGATGGGTTGGGTAGGGTTCATTTTAGTGATATCTAACTTCAGAAATTCTGTCAGTACTGTTATTTTTCACTTTTTTGATTTAAGTTTTTCCCTTCACTGAACAAGACGAGTCTGTACGGTCTTGTCTCATTGCTACCTCTTAATTAAGAACCTTAATTGGAACTATGGAGGTCTCTGAATATAGATGTATAAAGTTTGCTGAGGCTTTCAAAGTAGTAGTAACCTGCCCATCAACAAAGGTTTTAAGTTTTAAAAGCATTAATTTAGAGAATAGCTTCTTTGGGCGCATGTATTTAAGGTATTGAGAGTTTTATGTCCGAGAAATCCAAAGAAAAATGTAATATCGGGGAGAATGTCTTACCAACAAACGTTTCCTGTAGAATATCCCTACCAAAGTGTTTAGATTGCATTGCAGGAGGTAAGGATGTGCTTTTGTCTTTTTAGTTCTTGACGAAGAGCAATGTAGTGGGATGTTAGTTTGTACTTGACATTTTACTAAAAACCAATGAACTTCTTCTCGTGGTTGGTGGGCCACTGGCTTTCCATTTTTTTGAAGTTTACAGTAGTTTCTCAAGAGTGTCTTTTGGTTTCTTTCTTTGTCTGCAGAGAGACTTTGAAGTTTTTCCGAAGGACTAATTTATTTTAGTTCAGACCAAAAGAAAACCGCATAGCGAGTGTTGTAGTTTCTTGTGTTACATGTCGACCATACTTGGAAAGCTTACTGAATAAGGAGGAATTGATGCACTGGATTGCTTATTAGCCATCAGCCCCAAATAAAACCTTGTTCTAAAACCATGCTAAGTTACATGGCGTCAAGTAAAAAATCATTATCATTTATTCATTCGAGGTATTATGTAAAGTATGCATGTTGAAAAGAATTTAAGGTTAAAATGCTGATAATTGTGTCGGGTGAATGTTACATGATCAGTGTTGGGTAAACGCTAATTTATAGTTCAATGCTGAATTCTTCGCTGCCATCTCCATTTCATAACTCGGTTGCAGATGAATTATTTCGCCAATCCCAGTGTATCACATTCCAGGAGTAATTCTTAGCCTTCTTAATGTAAAAAAAAAAGTCTTAATGGCATTCCTTTTTTGGGATATATATTTCTGGTTCTTTCTCCTGAGTCTTGTGTTTGTGCTTGCTAATGATGAACTTTTGGGTTCAGCTATAGTCGTGTTAATGTTTACAGACGTCTTTTTCCTGGAATCCTTTTGGTCTTGAATTTGCCTGCTCAAACTTCGTTTTTTAAGTTTAAAGTTGTCTCCGTTAGTTATTCAGAATCAATACACTGGAGACATGTAAACCGTTTATAAACTCATTCCATTTACATTCAGTATTCATGTGATTTCAGCATAGCACCAAAACTAACCCAAATAGCCAATTATATTTAACAATGCAAGTCACCAAAATGTCTTATTTTCTAAGTTGTGCATATCTTTCCATGTTAGATTTTGTTTTGTTACAGTATAAGTGCGCTCTGGCGTTGATACACACCTCAACTCAGGGAGACTTGTTCAATATTTTTTGTTGTCAAATGTACTGAACAGGATTCCAGGAAAAAGTTCCCATTGATATCTTGCTAATTTACGAACACTTAATTTGAATACCATCAATGAACGATATCTTGGGTGCTACGAGGCTCTGTTGTTGATTCCATCGTTTGAGACTATAGCTGAGAGAACTGGGAGAGCAGAAAAAGGATGACAAAAATGTTCAAACTGTGACAATAATGTTTCTACTTCAAAGCTTCAGGGATAGTTCTGCATATTTTGAAATGCAGAGCTTTCGACTACATTTGTAAGACTGTGTCAATACTGTGTCAATTTCTGTATTTTATTGATGAAAAGCAAAACACTAGTTTCCTACGAAATAGATTTTACGAGTGTGTTCCCATTTCAAAACGCCTTCAAAAAAAAAAAAAAAAAAGAAAAGGAAAAAAAAAACCCATCAAAAAACATAGCCAGAGATGTACGTGGAAGAGTTTTACTTTTAAGTTCCAGAGTGTTTTTGAGCAAAAAAGAGAAAAAAACTAGATTTTACGAGTGTGTTCCCATTTCAAAACGCCTTCAAAAAAAAAAGAAAAGGAAAAAAAAACCCATCAAAAAACATAGCCAGAGATGTACGTGGAAGAGTTTTACTTTTAAGTTCCAGAGTGTTTTTGAGCAAAAAAGAGAAAAAAACGAGCATTCTAGGAAGCGCAAAGCTCATACCCAAATTTTCTGACTATTTTCTAAACCAAAGCACATTTTGAATGATTGATTGATTGATTGATTGATTGACAGCTTGTCTGACATTAAATATACTTGTGTATAATATCTCATTGTTTACATAAACTCTTTACAGTCATAGACCTCAGGTGAGGAGAGGCCAGTTTGGACCTGCTTCTGTGTAGGTCACCGTCTTTAAACGAATCGTAACCGTGTCTTACCCTGTGAACGTAGCCGCATGCTTTTGATTTGGATGGGCTGCTACTTTTATTGATCTGCGATTGGCCCTTTAAGATGTGCCGAGACATCCCTTCTGAAAATTATATTGTCCTTGACATCATTATTTGTATGAATCTGCTGCTTTTTCTTTTTTTCTTTTTTTATGTAAATACGCATGAATAAAACTACATACACATTTACCTCAAAGTAACTTTTTAGAACTTGCGTCATATATATGAATATATATAAATATAAATAAATATATTTAATTTTTTTGAGTTATCTCTCTCTTAGTTTATTTTAGTTTTTCAAAAATGTGTTGTATGTATTCTGAGCTGCCTGTTTTTTTTTTTTCTTTGTTCAGAAAAGAAGCAACTTAAAAACCGACTGGCCTCTCCTCCGTCTACATTGGTGCAAACACTTACTGACAGTGTTCACTTTTTCTTTTCTTTTTATCAAATGTCTATTGTCAGTGATGAATGTATTTATTCGTTTGATCCTGTTTTCACTTTTTAAGCATTCACTTTGGGTGAGACGACGTGTCTTCAGGGTCTGAGTTTATTCTGTTGTAGTAAGCTGAGAGGTAAATAAAAAAATGACACGTGTTAGATCATTTTCAAACCTGTGAAGACGTAGACATGAGGAATGTATTTCTCCATGAAGTGTCCATCATAAAGGATGTATCCCACATCGTTTTTGTAATCTTATCTCACTCAAAGCATGCATGTGCTCTGGATCATGTGTTCCCTGTCACAGACTCTTGAAGGCTGTTTGTCGATTTTAAATGTTCTCTGTCTGTACGCCTCTGCCTGCCGATACAGGAAGGGACCTTTTAGAATTGTGTCAAAGGCTTTCAAGGTTGTGTTTCTGTACTGAAAGCTGCCGTGTTGTTGTGCGCTGCGATTCAAAGCTGCCGGTCCGTTCCGTTTTTTTTTCTTTTATTTGCAAATGCCCAACAGAGCCAAAGGTTTTTCCTAAGAAACACTCACTCATGTCCTCATCACTGCAAGATCGCATCTTTTTAAGCTTTATAAAATGCACTTTCTAAGTTCTCACTGAGGTCCTTTACGCAGGCGATTTACATCTTATCAGTTATTTACAGATTGCAAAGTTTACTTGAGTTGTGAAGCTTTAAGTAAATGCAAAGATTAGGACTCACACTTGTTTGCTGCTAATGTGTAGTTCCGATTCTACATATCCCAGATAGTGTTAAATGTTGCCTCTTGTCAACATAACTGGTAAGTGTAAGGGACCTCAACTTACCAAACCAACCCAACCCAAACTAACTAAACCAAAGCCAGATTTACAAGCACGTGCATAGCAGGTGGGCATGTTTCCCATATGTTTTTACTTAAACGCCATATTGCATTGCTAGTCTGTCCACCATACGCGTTCTACTTAAGCATTCCAATAACTTTATATTCTGATTAATATTTATTTTCGGTTTGAATGAGAGCAGGACGTCAGATTAGAGAGGAATATGGAAGAAAATAGACATAAGTCACCAGAAGGAGCGTTAGTTTGTGGCACTTGTGAATGAAGACAAGTCGCCCTTGACGATTATTAGTTTGAATTACTGTCGCGTGTGTGTTTTCGGTCGGCCTTGAACGCGGCTCGCGGACAACACGGCGGTTTTGCGTTCCACAGAGAGCTTGTATTCAGGTCAGAGCTACATGCAGCTCGAATTCAGTTTCATGTGAATAAACAAGTGTACAGAGCTCATCTCACGTCTTAATGTACAGCTACGAGAAGTCATTTTAGAATCTTTTCATTAAAATCTTGATCAAAAAATGCTGGGTTCTCGGTGTGTCCTTGTGTGTTTGAGTTCCTTCGTGTTCTTTTGCTTTTATGACTTACAGTGGAAGTAAATGGGGTATTGCAAGACTTTTCCTTTAAGATCGCTGTGAAATAAATATTTTTGACCTTGTCTGTGCAAAGTTACACTCCAATATTCTTTACCTTTAGTCTAGTTTAGTCTAAGTCTAGTCTTTACCATGCAAAGCCAGAAAACTCTGGATCTTCAGCAAAGTCCATGCAATGTTGCAGGAAAATGACTGATTTGGTCATAAGTGCTTTAGCAAAAATATGTGGTATACCATCTTTTTGTGCCCTCAAAGTGCCCTATTTACTTCTATTGGTTTGCTTTATATACTTTTAAAATTGGCATGCCAAAATGAAACTTGTGTGATAGAATCGCTTTATAGCTCGAAAGAATCCATTCAAGTGATTTAACAAAAATGTGCAGTACCTCATCTTGTTATGCCGTTAAAGTGCCCCGTTCACTTTAATTGTAAGTTTGCTTTAATGCATTGTTTTGCCTTTTAAAATTGGAGCAAAATTGGTTGATTTATGCGATACAATCACTTTTTGACTTGTTTATGCAACTATCTTGACCATGCAAAGCCAGAAATCTCTTACTTTAGCAAGAACCATGCAATGATGAAGGATGACTTTTTACAAAGAGGAAACTCCAAACACAGGAATTACACAGGTGATGAATAACCAGAAGATCATCTGCCTAAAACAGTAGTATTAAATGACAATTTGGACAACTCTAGTTTAATTATCTTAAGGAACAATCCATGCAAGTGCTTTAAAAAATATGTGGTACCTCGTCTTTTTGTGCCCTCAAAGTGCCCCATTTACTTCAATTGTAAGTTTACTTTAATGCATTGTTTTATTTTATGAACTTTTAAAATTAGTTCAAAACATAAGACTTGGGTGATAGAATCGCTTTTTGACCTTATCTATGGAAAGTTGTAATCCAGTATTTCAGCAGTTTTGACCATGCAAAGCCAGAAAATACTAACGCTTTAGCATGATCTATGCAGTGATGCATGAAAATGACTCTGCTTGGATTTTCCCATGCAAACATTAAATATGCAAGTGATGAATAACTAAAAGTTAGAAGTTC